ATTTTTAGCGATGAAGCGAACTTAGATGTTTGTTTGGGTGACCACCGATCCCGGGTTATACGAAACAAAAATGAAGCGTTTCTTAAAGACTGCCTAAAGAGACAAGTGAAGCTTCCATCAGGTATAATGGTATAGGATGACATATCTGCCTTTGGCGTTGGAAAAGTTCACTTCAGAAATGGAACTGTGAATGCAGCTAAATATCAAAATATCGTTGAAACCAACGTGCTAGTGTCAATTCTAATTTTATCACCTTATTTTGCAACAAGATGGTGCGTCATATCATACCGCCAAAACCACGAAAAAATAGATGCAGGATAATAATATTTCCGTCCTTAGCTAGCCTTCCAGTAGTCCTGATTTAAATATACTAAGTGACATATAAATCCGAACACCCAGTTTAAATGGTTTTATTTTAATAAAAGTTGGTGAATGTATTTATCTTACTGTAAGTAACAAGTGAAAAAATTTTCAGCCTTATCAGTTGGACATTCCGGTTTTTATACTGCTTTTTTTTAATTCACTAACGCTCTAAAAATGAATATTTCAGCCGCAGTAAAGAATCAACGTTGGCGGATTTTGGTTCTTGACATCCTTTACGATCGGTTACGATGCCTAGAGTACGGAGACCTGTACGATTTCGTCAACATAGTGAGTTTGATAGGGGCCGTATAGTGGGACTTCGGGAAGCTGGACTTTCTTTTCGGGCAATTGCAGTTAGAGTGCAAAGAAGTGTAGACACTGTGGTTAGGTGTTGTCAGGCATGGCTTCGAGAAGGCCGTACGCAAAGAGCAAGGGGCACTGGACTCCGCCGTAGAACAACAGACCGTGAAGATCGCCGCCTAAGATTATTGGCCTTAAGGGACCGTTTCTCCACTACCAGGTCCATTGCAAATGAATGGTTTGCAGAACACGGAAGACCTATTGGCATGCGAAGTGTTTACCGACGAATGAGAAGTTTTGGCTTGTTTTCATACCGGCCACACTGGGTCCTCCCTTTAACTCGAGAACACCGACGTAATCGCCTTGAGTGGTGCAGACAACGGTCACTCTGGGTTCAGGAATGGAACAGTATTGTCTTTAGTGACGAGTCTCGATTTTGTTTAGGCATGCACGATGGTCGTGCCAGGGTTAGAAGGCGACGTGGTGAAAGGAGGAATCCACAGTATTTTGTTGAAAGACATGTTCATCACACTGTTGGAGTTATGGTTTGGGGTGGTATAGCTTATGGTTCCAGGTCACCTTTAATCTTCATCAGAGGTAACATGAACGCGCAGCGTTATATCCACGAAGTTCTAGAACCCCATCTTTTACCCTATCTTGACACCCTGGCAGATCCAACTTTCCAACAAGATAATGCCCGACCACATGTTGCAAGAGTCACAATAGGCTTCTTTCAACATAATGATGTCACATTGTTACCATGGCCACCAAGATCTCCCGACTTATCCCCAATTGAGCACGTGTGGGATATGGTGGGTAGGAGATTGCTCAATTTGCAACGTCCTCCTCAGACTCTAGAAGCACTTCGAGAGGAGTTGGTGGTTGCCTGGAATGAGATACCACAGGAGGACATTGACCACCTGATCAGAAGCATGCCTAGGCGCGTTGGAGAATGCGTAGCACATCAGGGTGCATCCACACACATTATTAAAGGTCAAAGGGCTTTAAAGCAGTGCAATCATTTTGAAATTTTTATCATTTACTTATTATGCTTCATTAAGTACTTATACAAAATTTTATTAAAATAAAACCATTTAAACTGGGTGTTCGGATTTATATGTCACTTAGTATATTATTAGCAGTTAAGAAATGATCCAAAACAAAACATTTCTGATTTACCAGTAAAACTACAAAATAAGGCGAACCTTTTCTGACATTTCATAAGAGTCTGATCATTTAAAAAAAATAGGGGTAAGAAATTAAAGGGGGGCTGTTGGGGGGTCGGGGAGGGTGCCTTTCAATTTTTCGCACATCATTGGTCTCCTCAGTTTCCACATTTGTTGTTAAAACTTACAACGATAGAGAAATATTTTTGATACGATGTATACTATCGTTCAAAAGTATTTGAACACCTGCATAATTCTCTAAAATCATAAAAAGCAATTAACATGTATGTATTTTTTTATATTTATTGAAAACCATCACCATCACCATCACCAAAATGTTGCTCACACTATTATTGGGATCTCATCATTAGCCATAATAGGAATTTCTTTGCCTTTAGAGTATTGTTACGTTTTTGTCTAGGAGCTCTTTCTCAGGATTTGTTTTTCAATTATTTCTTTTTAACTTGTGTTGTACGTAGACCCACAACACAGCTTTACTTCAGGTATCTTGTCGCATTTGATAAACTAACTGAGCTTCAATACATTTTAGTTCAAGATTGTTCAACAAGTGCGTTGTCGTTTATTTTTTTCTGCACAAAATGGGTAAAACTACAGAATATTCCTAGACGATCATTTGCCAGGCTGTAATTAGAAGTAAAGGAGGACATATCAATGAGTAAAAAATAGTAGTATGTTGCTAAGAAATAAATGTGTCATACAGATATTGTAATGTTTTCTTCAATAACTTCCATCAGTAAGTCCTTGCTTTCTGGGTGTTCGAATACTTTTGAACGGTAGTGTATCTCACGTTACCTGAGACCCTGGTCTATCAATAAACACTGCGCGAGCAAAGCCTACTGAATCTATTGTCGGAGATATCGCGCGGTTATCTTTTTGGAGCGATATGCCGACTGGGCGAGATATGCTAAGCTAATGGTTCTTGCATTTCATTCGGTGCACTTTGATAGAATACAAATATTGCCACCAACGACGCTGCAAATAAGGAAAACGCTAGAATTTAAATGTGTACTACGCAAATATTGCAGCACTTCTGAAGTCGACATATTTCTGCTACCAACTCACAATGTTCCGTTGATAAATAATTATAACAAAAATCACCTAACTAATAATGACATTTGATATTGTCAGGATTTCCACTCGGTTGTGTGCTTCAAAGGGTGGATAACGATAAAACACCAAGATACACAAATAAACTATTAAACCATTTTATACAGGGTGTCCCAATATTCCGTGGTCATAGAGGTATCAGTTATATTTAGGATCAAAATAATTCGATTAGGCGTTATTTACTTCTATGCAAAAATACTTTATCAATTAGAGGGCATTTTCAAACACATTTGGAAAACATATAATTTGCTAGAAGTTCTAATATTTGACTTTGACGAAAAAGTCTAAAGGTTTCGAGAAGCGTGAAAACTACCCCACCCCTACCCCCCCCCCCCCCTACATAAATTATAGCAGAGCTTTTTTTGGCAAATTTCTCGATAATTTTGAAATTTTTTGTTTAGCAGATTTTTCAATTACTTCATTCCTTGTCTCTCACAAAAACAGTCTATCTGGGATGATTTTACACTTTTAGCACATTTTACCTACTTTTTTATGAAACTGAGATACTAAGGAATTTCAGTCGTGATTATGAAAACGTTTCACGTTCAATCATGGTAAGACGGTTCTGAATCCGACCATGTTCAGTTTTCACCATCTTCAACATTATCAACAATTTCAACATTTTCAACATTTTCGTCGTGTTCAACATTTTCAACGTTTTCAACATTTTCAATATTTCCAACATTTTCAACACTTCCAACATTTCAACATTTTCAATATTATCAACATTTTCAACATTTTCAACATTTCAACATTTTCTACATTTTCAACACTTTCAACACTTTTAACATTTTCAACATTTTCAACATTTTCAACATTTTCAAAATTTTCAACATTTTCAACATTTTCAACATTTTCAACATTTTCAACATTGTCAACATTTTCAACATATTCAACACTTTTAATATTTTCAACATTTTCAACATTTTCAACATTTTCAACATTTGCAACATTTTCAACATTTTCAACATTTTCAACATTTTCAACATTTTCAACATTTTCAACATTTTCAATATTTCCAACATTTTCAACACTTCCAACATTTTTAACATTTTCAATATTATCAACATTTTCAACATTTTCAACATTTTCTACATTTTCAACACTTTCAACACTTCCAACATTTTCAACATTTTCAACATTTTCAACATTTTCAACATTTTCAACATTTTCAACATTTTCAACATTTTCAACATTTTCAACATTTTCAACATTTTCAACATTGTCAACATTTTCAACATATTCAACACTTTTAACATTGTTAACATTTTCAACATTTTCAACATTTTCAACACTTTCAACATTTTCAACAATTTCAACATTTTCAGCATTTTCAACTTGGAGAATCGGTATTTTTGCTACCAACTTTATTGATCACAGTGTTCCATTGATAAATAATTATAACAAAAATAACCAAACTAATAATGATATTTTATATTGTCAGGACTCCCATTCGATTGCGTGCTTCAAAGGGTTGATAACGATAAAACACCAAGATACACAAATAAAATATTAAACCGTTTTATACAGGATCAAGGATCAGGATCAAAATAATTCGATTGAACATGATTTACTTCCCTGAAAAAATGCTTTATCAGTTAGAGGGCGTGATTAGACACATCATATCTTAAGGACCGATATTCCGATTTGAATGAAATTTGGAAAGCGTATATTTTGCAAGGCATTCTAATATTTGACCTTTACGAAAAACTATAAAGGGTTCGAGAAGCGTGTAAACTGCCCCCACCCCCACATAAATTATAGCAGAGTTTTTTCTCGACAACTTTGAACTTTTTTGTTTAGCATATCTTTTCAAATACTCCATTTTGTGTTTCTTACAAAAACAGGCTATCTCGAGGAAAAAATGAGATGCTCTAAAAGATTCCTCAGCTTCTTATTACAATTTTAGGTTAGAACGGACCATTTTCTCAAAGTCGGCGTTCCGTGCTTACAAAAGTCTGACGATTTGGCATTCGTCGAACCGAATATCTCTTTTTCTGCAATAACATTCTTATAGTATGATTTAAAAATGTCTCTTTTCAGGATATTTATCCCCTTCCGATCCGTGACAAGTTCCCGCACGGTCCCAGAACCTTCGATGATCCAATAGTGGCCGCTCCAAGAAGTCTGAACACCGACGACGTAAGCACTGCGAGGAAAGATTCCAAGGAAGCCTTGAAGGTTGAGAACAAGACGGCATTTGAAAAGGCGCACAACAGGACGGTGAGAAGGAAGAGAAGTGTTGTCGTGTCTGATAGGAAGGTAAGGTTCCAAAATCTAATATAAAATGCATCTTTCTAGAGGCTCTTAAGGCTTTGTGAGTTTTAATAACAATTGATCAACTTGGCGGCGAATTTTTTTGGAATTATAAAACACATCGATAAGGATCCCAGGAAAGCTGTGGAATAGAGTACCCATGGCAATAACTTGAAATGTTTTTCAGGCAAGAAGTGCAGACGTTGGTGTAAGCACCCTATACGAAGTAATATCGGAGGCCGACCTAGCGTTCAGTCCAGACGGACGGGCTGAAGCCGTCACTGTTTTCCAGGGCCGGATTAGGGAAGAAGTCGTCTACGGAATTTGCATGCCCGTACCTGGATTCAGTCTGTTGTTCGTGTTAGTTGCTGTTTCTGCTGTTGTATCGGCTCTTGTTGCCGGAACACTGTTGTACAGGTAAGATCAATATTTTTTGTGTGTCAGCAAAATCTGATTCTATGTTTAAACTAACACTACTTTGAGGTGCTCAAAAAATAATTAACCCCGATATGGACAAGAATCTGTACCTTGTTAAAAACAGAAAGCAGAGCTACGGATTCTTAAGATATCTGGAAGAGACGTGAAAAAACTTCTAACGTATTTCAAATATGTGTACCTTGATCTCCAACGTTATCCGAATTCCATCTTAAGAAAATATTTTGAGACAACTTCCTTGTTTTCCGCAGGTATCAACTCCAAAAGGAACACCTGGCCCAACAAAACAATCAAAGAGGCGCCGCGGTACCTATGAGCATCTTCCCAAACTGGATGGGTTTGAGATTGCTCAGACCGCGCGCGTGCGCCGCAGCCAGACACCAAAACGGCAAAATGGAACTCAACGGGAAAACTAGAGCCGCTCATTTACACGCTGCCGCTCAATAGGTTCTCGATGCTCATGTTTGTAGGTGCGGTTTCGGTAGAGGTAGATTTGAAAGCTGTTCAGCTCAAGGTCATCAGGAAACTTACAGACGAAGGAATTTCAGTCGTGATTATGAAAACGTTTCACTAAGTAATATCATCTGCAATCGACAAGGTGTTGGTAACATTCAATCATTGCAAGACTGTTCTGAATACGACCCTGTTAAATGTTTCCATCTTTCGAGTGCTACGTGCATATTGTGAGACTGTGCTTACATCCACTTCTATCTAAAGAACATCGCACGAAATATATGGAAAATGGGTCATAGTCGATTTATCTAAAAATTCAGAATGAACAAAAGTTCACATGGGATCAAAGCAATCCTATTAGTTTTTGAGGAATAGAAGTATGAAGAAATTTTTAACATTTTCTACATTTTCTACATTTTCCACATTTTCTACATTTTCTACATTTTCTACATTTTCTACATTTTCTACATTTTCAACATTTTCAACATTTTCAACATTTAAAACATTTTCAACATTTAAAACATTTTCAACATTTTCAACATTTTGAACACTTTCAACATTTTCAACACTTTCAACATTTTCACCATTTTCATCATTTTCAACATTTACATTTCCAACATTTTCAACATTTCCAACATTTTCAACATTTAAACATTTTCAACATTTTCAAAATCTTCAACACTTTCAACATTTTCAACATTTTCAATATTTTCAACATTTTAAACATTTCAACATTTTCAAAATTTTCTAAATTTTCAACATTTTCATCATTTTCAACATTTTCAACATTTTCAACGTTTTCAACATTTTCAACATTTTCAACATTTTCGACATTTTCAACATTTTCAACACTTTAAACATTTTCAAAATTTTCAACATTTTCAACAATTTCAACATTTTCAACATTTTCAACATTTACAACATATTCAACATTGTGAATGTGCCGATTGTAGTGCTCAGACCAGAAACTGGGAGAATCGGTTAACTGATAGAAATATTCCATTGAAAACCTTGTACTATGTTGAGAAGTGTCAATTGATCTTGATCATAATCCTTAGAAGGTGGATGAAAAATCCAAAGCACCACTTATACTCAAAGATTGCTTATTAGTCTAAATCGGCCTTTAAAACAACTGAACTGTTTCTCCTGGAAGACAGATATAAATAAATAGAAGTCATTGTCCCATTAATGATACGTCATTCGTTTAGTATGTACTTTGGAAACGCCGTCTCATGTATTGGCCAGTGTAAAGAATTGTAAGTTGCAATAACTTGAAGCAATGTTCACACTTCTGCGCTTACCCTTTTATCTTCAAAATGAACGCGATCTTGATTTGACCTTGTGAAGGGCATAATCAAGACAAGGAAACAACCACGACCTTTATGTGCCCTTGAGAGACGAAATGTCCTATTAAGTTATCGGAATTCTCGAATAACTCGTGTTGTTAGCTAGCATCTAAAAACCAGCTTGCACTTAAATTGACCTTGTCAGTATCATAGTCAGCAGAAGTATGACACCTCCCAACGTCTTCCTACGAGATGTTTCAATGAAATACTTCTTTCAATAAACGAAATTTTCCGAGAACTACAACTGGGTCATTCACCATTTTTGAAAATCAGGTAAACTTTATCCCTTGAGAACTTTTGTTCAGGAAGGTAAGAAATATATTATACTGAATTTTTGTACAAATCGAAAAGGACTCATTTTCCCTGTGTTTTGTGCGTGGTCCTTTAGGCGAGAAGCTTCTTGTGACAACAGTCAAATCTGCCTCTAAACTTAACCTAGCTTCTCTTAGAGGTACTTGGATATCACATTTTGAATGGTTTACCGTTATTAAACCGCTCAAAATTTTATATTCTTTTGTCACTAGCTCAATTACTAGCTCAATGATTTTTGGTACAATGTACTTCCACAAATATACTTTTTTGGGACACTTTGTAGTTACTTTGTAACATCGCAGCAGGTAGTTTCAGATTTTGATTGAGCAAGAAATGTTTCAAAAATAGTTTGGAACTTTTTTAAGTTCAGAGTCAATAGTTTTCTTAAGGCTGGAACGTTGCCAGTAGCTCAGAATTTTTTTCCGTAACAGAATAGTGTAACTAACATTTTTATGAAATCTGTAGCTGCTTACTGCATAACTGAAAATGAAAATGGTGCTCAAATTTATTGTAATTATAAATGCGATACATACGAATATGCTGACGTGCGATCACTTTTAGTGCTAAAAATTGGGCGTTTTGCAATATATTGTTCTTTGTACAATTATTAGGTATCATTGTATTCGTTCATAGATTTTAAGTATTTAAAGAGCATTTATCTATGTGTATATAAATATTGTTTTCATGGCCTCCTATTGGTAGATACTTGAATGTTTTTCCCTCGATGTGACATCTGAAAAAAAAGATACACATTTGGCTCAATATTTGTAGAAAGTAAGGCAAACCAAATTAGTTTTAAACGATTTCAAATTATTTTTATGAGCTTTCTGATAGACAGAATCGTAAGATTTCTGAAAAATCACAAAACATGGAGACTTCAAAGTTGCAATACATGAAAAGAGGCCATCTCCATACGTAGTGTATGGACATATTTACTGTTTAGGTAGTGTATGGCCTCCTTTAGTCATACAAACCGTTTTCATAGTTTCACTTTTTTCAAAATGTCTAATTGTTTTTTCAAATAGAGTTGGTTATATCGAGGAAAACTTTCATGTTTTATGGGTAGATAATAGTAATTATTTATTTGATATAACTGCTGGATAATAATTGCGTCTCTTTCGAGTTTGTATGCAATTATTTTTTTGTCAGTTGATCTTCGGGGTAACTAAGAGGTCATAATAGATTAGTCGTTATATTTATTACTTAGCAATAGTCGTACAATATGGAGTATTTTGTTGCTTTAATTTTTTTGAAATCATCTAAATTATGCCTTGTTCTGATACTAAAAATTGGTAACTGACAGAACAGATTTTTGTATTTTACATTTGCCAAAATTTGTTGAAAATATATATTTCATGGTTTTCGTCTTTAATATTTAATAATATTATATCCGTATCTCCTAACAAGCAGATTTTTCTTAGTTTGAAGTCATATAGATTTTTATCAATTAAGGAACCCATTATTGTACAGTATTACTTAATTCTAATTTATTAATTCAAATATTTGTTGCACTTCAAATCCAAAATATAGCTTTTACTAAAATTCATTTAGCTTTTAAGGAATATCGTATTGCTACTCAAACATTCAAGGCCAGTTCTATAGAAATACACATCAGTTGGACAAAAAATACAAACTAGTTGAGCTGCAACTTTTTTGAAGTGATACTCAAATGTTGAAAACTGACTACCGTTCCGGAGTCGAAACGCAAAATTTTCCCTTCAAATTTTATACAAAACTGTTCTTACTTACTTCAAAACAATTTGTCAAAATCATGATACACTTATTGGTCGGAATGAAAGAAAAAATGAGAAATGCTGCAATAGTCCAGGAAATATCTTCACCATTTGTGTCAAAATATTGTTTAAACAAGTTTTAACGCAGTTATAGTTCTTGAAACAAGCAGGTTTGTTCTCTTTGTATAAGATTATGCAAAAGAACCGAGCCAGTGTGAAGGTACCTGGATTGTGAGACAATTCGCGTAAAGTATTTAAAAAATGGTGAAAGTACACACTATTCTTGTTTGCAAAAACGGTGAAAGAGCCACGCGGTGCCAGTCAAGCGTTTCAAAACTGGTGAGTGTACTTACAAATCTTGCTTGCAAAAATGTTGAAGCGCCAAGCAGCGCAACATTTTTTCTTTAATTCGTGTCAAAAAATTGTTTAAACAAGTTTTAACGCAGTTATAGTTCTTGAAACATGCAGGCTTGTTCTCTTTGAATAAGATTATGCAAAAGAACCGAGCCAGTGCGAAGGTACCTGGATTGTGAGACAATTCGCGTAAAGTATTTAAAAAATGGTGAAAGTACTTACTATTCGTGTTTGCAAAAACGGTGAAAGAGCCACGCGGTGCCAGTCAAGCGTTTCAAAACTGCTGAAAGTACTTACAAATCTTGCTTGCAAAAATGATGAAAGCGCCAGGCAGCGTAACATGTTTTTTAATTCGTGTCAAAAAATTGTTTAAACAAGTTTTAACGCAGTTATAGTTCTTGAAACATGCAGGTTTGTTCTGTTTGAATAAGATTATGCTAAAGAACCGAGCCAGTGCGAAGGTACCTGGATTGTGAGACAATTCGCGTAAAGTATTTAAAAAATGGTGAAAGTACTTACTATTCTTGTTTGCAAAACGGCGAAAGAGCCACGCAGATCCAGTCAAGCGTTTCAAAACTGGTGAAAGTACTTACAAATCTTGCTTGCAAAAATGATGAAATCGCCAGGCAGCTTAACATTTTTTTTTAATTCGTCTCAAAAAATTGTTTAAACAAGTTTTAACGCAGTTATAGTTCTTGAAACATGCAGGCTTGTTCTCTTTGAATAAGATTATGCAAAAGAACCGAGCCGGTTCGAAGGTACCTGGATTGTGTGACGACTCGCGGCAAGTATTTAAAAAATGGTGAAAGCACTTACTATTCGAATTTGCAAAAACTGTGAAAGAGCCACGCAGTGCCAGTCAAGCGTTTCAAAACTGGTGAAAGTACTGACAAATCTTGCTTGCAAAAATGATGAAAGCGCCAGGCAGCATAACATTTTTTAAATTCGTGTCAAAAAATTGTTTAAACAAGTTTTAACCCAATCATAGTTCTGGAAAGATGCAGGTTTGTCCTTTTTGGTTTAACAATATTATGCAAAAGATCCGAACCGATGCGAAGGTAACCTGCATTACGAGACAAGACGCCAGTGATGAGTTTCAAAAATGGTGAATGTACTGACTAATCTTGCTTGCAAAAATGCTGAAAGCGCTAAGCAATGTTGCCGGAGTAAAAAACAAAAACGCTGAATAGTGTCATTGAAATTCGATAGATTCAAGGACACAATCGGTAGGAGGAAAAAATGAAAAAATATTACCTTAATTACAACTAGTACAATAAGCATACTGGTCGCTCTTCAAACTCCTGTAAAATATCCTGGAAATTCCCTCTCCCACTCCTGTTTTTATAAATGAACATTTTTCTGATTTACCCCTGAACTTGAAGTTTCATCACCTGATATATTAATTCAACATTTAGTCAAAATTATACGAGCTTTGGTTTTATTATTGCTAGTATTAAAAGCCGAGTAGTGACTGTGCATACACTTAGAAAAAAGTTTAATATAAACCAAATCAGATGTTGTTTAGGCCAATCAACAAGTTCAATCAACTAACAAATTTAACTAGTTTAATCGAACTCCAACGTCTGACACAGTTTACTTGAATCTATGAAACTAGTTTAATTAAATTTATCAAACTGTTTACTTAGATTGAGCACACAATTTATTTGAAATGAATTAACTACTAAAATGAGTTCACTTTCTTTATGTAAAACAATTTAGTCGTAAAACTGTTCAATTAAAATGTTTTAATGTTTTAAATAAACTTTCTACTTAAATTGAATTCCAGGAAATTCGGTTCAGTTAGGCCGAATAATTTAGTTAATTTTTAAGAAACTCATTACGGTTAACGATAATTTTTCAAGCTGCTTGATTAGCCACGTTTTCTCAGAGCATTTCTGATTGGAATGAATATTTTTGAAACCTTGAAAATTTCGTAAATTTTGAGAATCATGGAAATAATAAAAATTTTAAAAATTCTGAAAATAACGAACAGTGACAATTTTAAGAATCTTGGAAAACTACATAGAATTAATTTTTTGGCTTTATTTTTGGTTCCGGATCGTTTTCGGTAAATAAATTTGAAAATATATGAATTATTTTAAAAAATCGTGGAAAATGAGAGCGTCTTCGGTATTTCTGTAAATGAAGTCCTATTTCCGCAGAAATACCGAAAAATTGGTAGATTCGGCAACACTGGATACGCTTTATCAATCGGGTTTGCAGCTTGTATAATCTTATAGTTTTGACTTCTGATTACTTATAATTTTACACCAACGAAATATTAGAAGTTTTCCATTCCTTACTATTTTACAAAATGATGTGTATTTTAGTACTAAAAATTGCGAAGCTCAGAAATATAATGATTTACTTAGACATAGCAAATGTATATAGTATATGACCAGATTTACTGCCAGTAACGATATAGAACTAGAATGAGCTTTCTTATATTATGTTGTTATGGTATTTTGAATAGAAAGCTGACTTATATTGTAAATTTCAATTGTAATGGAAAGGGAAACAGGAAGGTATTTTTAAATAAATAAAGAGTCATTTATTTTACACAATATATTTCAGTTGTTGACACTCAGCACAGATTTACTATTTGGAGATGTCTCAAATACCCAAAACTGTATCTAGATTTTTACAAAATCAAAATAATGTATATTTTTGTGGCGCTTGAAACATCACCTCAACTCTGTTGTCTCATTATTGATACCTATAATTCTTTGGTCCACGAAGTGTTTCAGAAAAGTCTGTTATTATTGGTTCATAATAAAAAGTAACTTTTGAAAATTTGAAACCACAAAGAAATTTTAATTTTGATATAATGGCTTCAAATTCAGATGAATTTCTAAAGTTGTGTTATATAGGTACCAATAGCGAGATAGCCAAAATTAACTGTCAAAAAATAGACATACTTTTAAGTGACGTAATTTTATATTATTGTTTTTATACGTTTATCAATAAATACATAAAATTACGAAACGTCTTTTACTTACTATTCCTACAGCTAGAATAAATATCTAATACTTGAGGACAATTTTTATTCGAGTATATTATAACATAACTATTAACGATTCACAAAATTGTTTTTTTACAATGTGAAATGCAAGACTAGAGGTTGCAGACAGAAATTTAGCAAATATGAGCAAAAGTATTTGAGCAAAAAACAAAAAGTAGTATTAACCAAATAGTCGCGACAATTTTTTGAAAAAGTAGCACGAGTAAATTTGAGTACTATAATTAAACTAATTTAAATCAGTTTGAAAAAGACTAAGCTTCTATAAAAATTCGAAACCAAGCATTTTTTTGGAATTGGGTAGAAAACTAGCAGTATCATTCTTGAAAGTTCTACGATCATTTACAAAGTTATATTTTCAGATGATTAAACTTAAACAAATGTGTCGATATAAAGAAGTTGTGTACCGAAAAATTCGTAAATTAACATAAAATCCAAAAATACGCAAAAATTAACACAATTTTCAGCATATCATTAAAGTTTTAAGCCCCAGCTTACAAAAATAAAAATAACTGAGTTTCACCTGAAATCAAACGTTTGCTTTAAAAGCAATAGCTACAAGACTTCGTATTGTACAGGTACCCGAGAATAAATAAATAAATAAATAAATAATTTAAATATTATATCCTAATAACTATATCATTAAGCTAAATCATTTTTTTAAACCTTAACCGATTCTTAATACCAAAAACACGTAGTGTTTACATTTTTTAGCTAATACAAAACTTGACCCTAAGATCAGGTAACATTTATCAGCTAAAAAATATGAAAAAAATGAGTACTTATCTAAAAATGAACTAATCACATCAATAAATACTTCATTGTATATGTACAAATCACTTGCTTTCGCTTCAATTGGTTGAGATTTTTTTAAATTATTTTCCTTTTACTTAATTGTCTATTTATAATTTTAAGTTTTTGTTCTTGTCGAATAACCAAGACTTCAAATAGTCGAGATAAAAAATGTGCATTAACCATTTTGAAAAAAACGTTGAAATCAGACACTCGCCACTTATGCAACACTCAACACTTAAATGAAGGGCTAGGGGCAATAAGGTACATAATAATCTAAACCTTTTTTTTTTGAATTGTGAAACAGAGATTTGGTAATAACAGAATTGGATAAATGTAATGCATTTTTGTAAAGTACTTTTAAGAATACCCCCCAACTTAAATCTCTTACCGTTTCCAAAATCGAGTCGGATTTAAAACACTCGATATTTGATTCTGTATTCTCCACTAAATCGCATTCAAACTTTTCGATACCGAATCAAAGCGTCAACATTACAACACACGCCAAACGATGATTCCAAAATAATCAAGAATAAAAACAACTTTTACTCTTGCCCTTTGGGGAATGAGCGTAGGCTATGGTGACACCTAACTTGTGATTGTTGAAAGGCTTCAATTTGATGCAAAGGAAGGCTGACATCAAACAAGACACTATCAAAATGGCCAAAAGGACAACCAGAGTTGCTGCAAAGCCTGGAGTCGTCATGCAGATCATGCTACCTCCTGCTAGTTCTTCTTTTGTTGGGAAAACCATGGTTGGAGGTGTGGTAGTGTTGGTAGTGTCATCTAGAGGGAAGGTTAGGTCTCCTGTAGATACCACGCGGATCACCTAGAAAGAAAATAATATGGTTATGAATAGTCTTTCGCAGTTTCGAAATTTTTGAATATGTGGAACATTTTAAAAATTTGAAAATTTTTGAAAAATTGGACAATTTTGAAAATTTTGGAAAATTTGGAAATTTTGGAAAATTTGTAAATTTTGGAAAATTTGGAAATTTTGGAAAATTTGGAAATTTTGGAAATTTTTGAAAATTTGGAAATTTTGGAAATTTTTGTAAATTTGGAAATTTTGGAAATTTTGGAAAATTTGGAAATTTTGGAAAATTTGTAAATTTTGGAAATTTTGGAAATTTTTGAAAAATTTGAAAAATTTGGAAAATGTGTAAAATTTGGAAAACTTGGAAAAATTTGGTAAATTTGGAAAATTTGGAAAATTTGGAAAGTTCGTAAAATTTGGAAAACTTGGAAAATTTGAAAAACTTTTGTAAAAATTTGGAAATTTGTCATCTAAAACGAAGGTTAGGTTAGGTAGATACCACGCGGATCACCTAGAAAGAAAATATGGAAAATTAAATTGATGCAATTTTTACCAGGAATTGATGTAAATCTACACAGTAACTTAAATACATGAATATTCTAAACATCATTATTGAAAAGATTTCGACAACTACTCAGGCAATGCTGCTATCAACTATTATGATAATTAATAGATTATGATTAGTTTATTCCCTACATAACGCTTATTACAAATCTTTCAAAGCTGAAAAAAATCTACATCTTTTAGCTTGGCTTACAAAATGTGAAGTAAAATTTGCTGATTTTGAAATATATGATTTCTGAAAATTTTGAGACATTGAAAAATTGGAAAATTTTCAAAATTATGTATATGATGAACATTTTGAAAATTTTGGAAATTGTTAAAATTGAAAACACTGAAATTGAGAAAAAATTGACAATCCTTAAAATTTTGAATATCTTGAAAATTTCGGAAAATTTTGACCATTTTAGAAACAAAAATTTTTTATAATTTTGAAAATGCTCAAGATTTTGAATACCTTGAAAATTTCGGAAAATTTTGAATATCTTCAAAATTTCCGAAAATTTTGAGTAATTCAAAAAAATTTTTTTTATAATTTTCATTTTTTTTTTAAAATATTGAAAGTTTTGTTTTCAAAATTTTGGAGGTTCCGGAAATCAGGAACATTTTGAAAATATCGGATATTTTTAGAAATTGTTAAAACTAAATTTTGGAAATTGAAAAAATTTTGAAAATCCTGGAAATTTTGAATATTTTGAAAATTTCGGAAAATTTTTTAGAATTCCGAAAATTTTAAAACTTCTCAAAATTTTGAAAAATATGAATATGAACATGGAAATTCTGAAAATTTTAAAAGTATTGAAAATCTTCAAAATTTGGAAAACTTTCAAAAATATGAAATTATGCTGCAAGTATCTGTAAAGTGCAAATCTTATATTTCGACTCGAAGGGTGAGTAACTCTTCGTTTGAAATTCGAGGATCGGTCAACCCTCAATCGGCCCTCAGCCCTCAAGGGTCTACTATACTATAAGTCCATCTGGCGTGTTAAAGAAGAAACGCCTTTTTCTTACCTTATTAACCCCAACTTCTTTTTCGGGGCTGGATTTCAAGGCCCTCTTCGTCCTACGTTCATCTCTGGGCCTTCCTGGATGCAAGTAGGCATCAACTGGAGAGGGAAGTGGTGGAGGTATGCCATACCCACTGTCAGGGGCACTGTGCGGAATATCTAGTAGGCCGTTGTGGGTTAGAGAGTTACCGTCAGCACATTGGTCGGGGCAGTGATACCTGCAAATAAGATGTTTATTTTAAGCAGTCATATTATATCGGTGATTGAAGACTCAAAAATGTTTAAATGTTTGTTTGTGAATTCTGGTAATTGCAAAAAGTTAGAAACAATATGTTGAAGCCAGATTTATTCTACTTAAAAGTGCCTCTTGGATTTCGATACACTTCAGAAAATGTATTTCAAAGATCTAAAAAATTCTGAAACCGTTGAATATACCCAGTAAGTCCTAATTTGCATTTTATTCCACAAGCACATTTATATTTTACCTGCAGATCTGGATAGTGCACTGGAAATGCACCTCCATGGAGTCTGGGAATTTGAAAGCCTGGAAATGTGCGTACGACAGCACTGAAGCGCTTGCTCCGAAATTCTTAATTTTGGTGAAACGAGACATCAGCTTTGGCCTGGTTACACAACCTGGAAGTAACCGAAATAACAACATATACAAAGAAATAATAACACAATAAAAAGTGCACTATGTATTTCCCATCTACAGTTTTTCACGCTGAACGCGAATTGTAGTCAAAATTGGGGTCCTTCTTACCTCTCTGATCCACCAACTGAATAGGCGCCCTCTTTCCATCGTGAGCCATGCAATTTCTCACCAACATATCAAACTTGGCATCGTCATCCTTAATGGCTAGCACCATCGTCATGGTCTGGCCAATCTTCACCAGGCCAGACACCTCGGAGGCCCATGGGCCTTTGCCCACCTGGATTTGCATCCAGCAGCCGACGTTGTCGCCGGCGAAGTCCGTGCGGATGACGTCCAGCATGTCCACTGGGAAAGGACGGAAGGTGACGGATTTCTCGTATTGATCGTGCCAGGTACAACGGAGTTTGCGGGCTTGGTCCCAGACCTCCTGGACCTATAAATAATATAGAGTGTGCATTTTGAAAAGTTTTGACGCTTTTGGTAATATTGGAAATTTCGGAAATGTTGAAAATATTGGAAATTTTGGAAGTTTCGAAAAATTTGGAAATTATGGAAAATTGGGAACTTTTGGAAATTTTGAAAATTTTGTAAATCGTGGAAATTTTGAAAATTGCGGATATTCTGTAAATTATGAAAATTTTTGAAATTTTGGAAATTTTATAGACTTTAGAAATTCTGGAAATAGTAGAAATTTTGGAAATCTTGTCAATTTTAGAAATTGCGAAAATTGTGACAATTTCGGGCGTCATGAAAATTTTTGAAATTACGGAAATTTTGGAAATTATGGAAATTTCGGAAATTGTGGAAATTTTGGAAATTGCGGATATTCTGGAAATTATGAAAGTATTTGAAATTTTGAAGATTTTGGAAATTTTGGAAATTTTTGAAATTCTGGAAATTTCGGAAATTTTGGAAATTTTGGGAATTATAGAATTTTTGTAAATTTTGGAAATTTTGGAAAATTTGGAGATTTTGGAAATTATGGAAATTTTGGAGACTTTGGAAATATTGGAAATTTTATAGATTTTAGAAATCCTGGAAATTCTGGAAATTTTATAGATTTTAGAAATCCTGGAAATTCTGGAAATTTTGGAAATCTTGGAAACTGTAAATACTGGAAATTTTTGATATTTTCGAAATTTTGGAAATTATGGAAATTTTGGAAACTTCGGAATTTTGGAAAATTCGAAATTTTGTAAATTTTGTAAATTTTGTAAATTTTGTAAATTTTGTAAATTTTGTAAATTTTGTAAATTTTGTAAATTTTGTAAATTTTGTAAATTTTGTAAATTTTGTAAATTTTGTAAATTTTGTAAATTTTGTAAATTTTGTAAATTCTGTAAATTTTGTAAATTTTGTAAATTTTGTAAATTTTGTAAATTTTGTAAATTTTGTAAATTTTGTAAATTTTGTAAATTTTGTAAATTTTGTAAATTTTGTAAATTTTGCAAATTTTGTAAATTTTGTAAATTTTGTAAATTATGTAAATTTTGTAAATTTTGTAAATTTTGTAAGTTTTGTAAATTTTGTAAGTTTTGTAAGTTTTGTAATTATGTAATTTGTAAATTTGTAATATTGTAAATTTTGTAAATTTTGTAAATATTGTAAATTTTGTAAATTTTGTAAATTTGTAAATTTTGTAAATTTTGTAAATTTTGTAAATTTTGTAAATTTTGTAAATTTTGTAAATTTTGTAAATTTTGTAAATTTTGTAAATTTTGTAAATTTTGTAAATTTTGTAAATTTTGTAAATTTTGTAAATTTTGTAAATTTTGTAAATTTTGTAAATTTTGTAAATTTTGTAAATTTTGTAAATTTTGTAAATTTTGTAAATTTTGTAAATTTTGTAAATTTTGTAAATTTTGTAAATTTTGTAAATTTTGTAAATTTTGTAAATTTTGTAAATTTTGTAAATTTTGTAAATTTTGTAAATTTTGTAAATTTTGAAATTTTGTAAATTTTGTAAATTTTGTAAATTTTGTAAATTTTGTAAATTTTGTAAATTTTGTAAATTTTGTAAATTTTGTAAATTTTGTAAATTTTGTAAATTTTGTAAATTTTGTAAATTTTGTAAATTTTGTAAATTTTGTAAATTTTGTAAATTTTGTAAATTTTGTAAATTTTGTAAATTTGTAAATTTTGTAAATTTGTAAATTTTGTAAATTTTGTAAATTTTGTAAATTTTGTAAATTTTGTAAATTTTGTAAATTTTGTAAATTTTGTAATTTTGTAAATTTTGTAAATTTTGTAAATTTTGTAAATTTTGTAAATTTTGTAAATTTTGAAATTTTGTAAATTTTGTAAATTTTGTAAATTTTGTAAATTTTGTAAATTTTGTAAATTTTGTAAATTTTGTAAATTTTGTAAATTTTGTAAATTTTGTAAATTTTGTAAATTTTGTAAATTTTGTAATTTTGTAAATTTTGTAAATTTTGTAAATTTTGTAAATTTTGTAAATTTTGTAAATTTTGTAAATTTTGTAAATTTTGTAAATTTTGTAAATTTTGTAAATTTTGTAAATTTTGTAAATTTTGTAAATTTTGTAAATTTTGTAAATTTTGTAAATTTTGTAAATTTTGTAAATTTTTTGTAAATTTTGTAAATTTTGTAAATTTTGTAAATTTTGTAAATTTTGTAAATTTTGTAATTTGTAAATTTTGTAAATTTTGTAAATTTTGTAAATTTTGTAAATTTTGTAAATTTTGTAAATTTTGTAAATTTTGTAAATTTTGTAAATTTTGTAAATTTTGTAAATTTTGTAAATTTTGTAAATTTTGTAAATTTTGTAAATTTTGTAAATTTTGTAAATTTTGTAAATTTTGTAAATTTTGTAAATTTTGTAAATTTTGTAAATTTTGTAAATTTTGTAAATTTTGTAAATTTTGTAAATTTTGTAAATTTTGTAAATTTTGTAAATTTTGTAAATTTTGTAAATTTTGTAAATTTTGTAAATTTTGTAAATTTTGTAAATTTTGTAAATTTTGTAAATTTTGTAAATTTTGTAAATTTTGTAAATTTTGTAAATTTTGTAAATTTTGTAAATTTTGAAATTTTGTAAATTTTGTAAATTTTGTAAATTTTGTAAATTTTGTAAATTTTGTAAATTTTGTAAATTTTGTAAATTTTGTAAATTTTGTAAATTTTGTAATTTTGTAAATTTTGTAAATTTTGTAAATTTGTAAATTTTGTAAATTTTGTAAATTTTGTAAATTTTGTAAATTTTGTAAATTTTGTAAATTTTGTAAATTTTGTAAATTTTGTAAATTTTGTAAATTTTGTAAATTTTGTAAATTTTGTAAATTTTGTAAATTTTGTAAATTTTGTAAATTTTGTAAATTTTGTAAATTTTGTAAATTTTGTAAATTTTGTAAATTTTGTAAATTTTGTAAATTTTGTAAATTTTGTAAATTTTGTAAATTTTGTAAATTTTGTAAATTTTGTAAATTTTGTAAATTTTGTAAATTTTGTAAATTTTGTAAATTTTGTAAATTTTGTAAATTTTGTAAATTTTGTAAATTTGTAAATTTTGTAAATTTTGTAAATTTTGTAAATTTTGTAAATTTTGTAAATTTTGTAAATTTTGTAAATTTTGTAAATTTTGTAAATTTTGTAAATTTTGTAAATTTTGTAAATTGTAATTTGTAAATTTTGTAAATTTGTAAATTTTGTAAATTTTTGAATTTTTTGATATTTTGATAATTTTTTAGATTTTGGAAGCATTTTAAAATCTTTGGAAATTTTGGAAATCGAGTATCCTAAAAATTGTGTTTTAAGGTATGAATGGTAATTTTTTATTCGAAATTTTTAACATATTTCGAGAGTATTGAAAATTTAAATCATTCTCAAAATACTGATGTAAGGACAAGACGTTTTACCTGTGGATCGTATTGAATAACAATAATGTTCTCAAAGTAGGTCCCTGATCCAGATTCGGCACCGTACCCATACAACCCATTTTCAGTGTTGCCTGATGTACCACAGGCATGGATTCCAATTTCAAAATGGGCTGAGGTTCTTCCTAAGCCTGCTGGTAGATGTACACAATGTACGTTGCTATAGTGACCTGTAAAAATAAAATTTATGTTACGCATTTAACCAACAACTAAAGCCAACTACAGCGAGGATACATATTAAAAAGATAATACGTATACTCGTAAGTGAGGATGTGTTGTGGAGAAATCAGGAACGCTAAAAAATCTCAGGCTATAACTTAGAGGAAAAAACTTTACCTACTCTCCACACCATAGTCAAACTGACAACATTCGCACAAGAAATAACGAAAATAAGCATAAATATCTCCCAAAATTCAACAAAATCTAAATATATCCGAAACGTTAATAACCGAATCATATACGTAGTAGAAACCTTGCATGCCAGTCCTAGGCCTGACGAAATTATTCTAGGACACTAAAAACTATCATGACATGGATAACTTTTGTAGGCACCTATTTACTTAACATACCTTTGCTGAAGACAATCCCATAGAAAGGCTTATCGAACCCAATATACACCTTCATGCTATTCTTCTCACACTTGACATCTAGTGACACTATCTTCGGCATGTCCGGTACCGGAGCTGGCCAAATGTCTCCCCCTCCTGGAGCGGTTCCAGGGGCGGTTCCGTACTTGTCCATGGCTTGTTTTGGAGGAGGAGGAGGGGGCCCATTGTAGGAGTTCTTGCTCTCGTAGGGTTTGTTGTTCTTCTGGGGGCCGAACTGCTTGTGGTTGTAGTTGTGGTTGTTTCTCGGAGGCAGGTTCTGAGTCCTGTGGACAAGACGAGATGGATGTGTCTTTGGCATCGTTCTCACCGAAAGCACCTTTTGTTTTTGAAAGGGAATGTTTCGAACTGTCTTGCCCGAAGTGTGTGAAAAAACCTTAAGGAGGGCTTCGCCGTTTTTAATTTCGGAGTGGGCAGTTTATAAACATTCTTTTCAAAACTTGATAAATGAGAAATTGTATAAGTTGCTTACACCAAAATTAATAAGTTTTGCTTTTGGTGAGAATAGTGTCTAATAGATTCCTTACCTGTGAGGGCTTCCGCTATAAGCCAGTTTCTTTGGAGGCTGATCTTGTTCCTCCAGAGAATCAAGCGCCATCTGGTCAGTCTTTGAGTCATTTTCTGCCTTGTGCTCTTTTTCTTCTGAACCTGGAATGGCTTCTATCACTTCCACCTCTTCTGCTAACGACTTTGGCTGTAACAATAAAAGAATTATCACACACCTGCGATTTCGATAAAAGTTTTCTCGCTAGCGATATTTCTAGATTTCTACTGTTCCGTGTCAGCGCTCTGCTTTGAGATTATGTTACAAATGTGTATTTGCCTGCTTTTAATTTGTGTCATCTGTTTTATCAGCCTGAAATTTCCTTAAATTTTGGAAATATTGGAAATTTTGTAAATTTTGGAAATTTTTAAAATTTTGGAAACTTTGAAAATTTTGAAAATCTTGGAAATTTTGGAAATTTTGAAAATTTTGGATATTTTGGAAATTTTGGTAATTTTGGAAATTTTGGAAATTTTGGAAATTCTGGAAATTTTGGAAATTTTGGAAATTTTGGAAATTTTGGAAATTTTGGAAATTTTGGAAATTTTGGAAATTTTGGAAATTTTGGAAACTGAAAATTAAGGAAATATTGGAAATTGTGAAAATTTTGTAAATCTCAGAAATTTTGGTTTTGAAATTTTGGAAATTGTGTAATTTTTAAAAATTTTTGAAAATGTTGGAAATTTTGAGTTTTTTTCTACTTGGAGATTTTGGAAATTTGCTACTTAATAAATTAGACTATTTGAAAATAATTGGGAAACGAATGTAGTGTCGACGTGCATACCATTTCCAGATGCTAAGTAAATTCTCAAATATACTATATTTTAAAGCCTAATTTAATAAATTATATCCGTCCATATATCGTAATTCTGAAAAAAATCTATACATACGTCGATGGAGAAGGCCATTATTGTTCCTCGGCGATGTACGCCTCAGGTTATAAAAGTGCTCGGCCAATAACGGCAAATTTTTTCACCAAGGTATGTAATGTACTATTTCAACATGGTATGTATGTATAAACTATTTCTTCGTCTTAATTTATTATTAGTACACTCCTACTATTTTTTATTGTAAATTATGTTAAAGTGAAAAGCGGCACTACATTTATTTCAACTATACAAAGTCTTTATGAGATATTTGCGTTCCCAATTTGTATCGGCAGTTAAATGGTTAGTTAAAAAACAGTACATAACAAGACATAATATGTGACATACATAACATTATGACCGATGACATACATATACCTACATATAAACATACGTACACATGTAATGGATAAGCGCTAATTGTTCTCTAAATAATGTTTGCTTTTTTGATGTTTCCTCTGAGAAATTGTCTAATAACTGTATTTACGAATGCATAAAATTGTGCTGGTGCATATTATGCGCGATGGCACTGAAGAAGATTCCATGGCTTTCTAATTGCCTCTGGTCATCTACGGTAATCCTTCAAGACAGATCAGCGGCGGCACGGTGTTTAATTTAAATGAAGTTTAAAAGACTATTTAAATATAGGTCACTCGGAAAACATTGAGAACGTCCAAAAGGAACACAGAAGGTTAAATAAATTTAACAAACAAAGCTCCGCAGGTTCTTCGTTCTCAAGATACAGAGTTATAAATTTTGTTGTAAGTTGGGGGTAGTATTTATAGCATTAAAGAGCCTTTAGCTCTAACTTCATTAAATTTATTATGTCTCGAGCGTGTTCCGAACGAATATTTGTGACAAAAAAATGTGCGCCAAGGACTTTTGTGCAATTTTTATTATGTTCTTTGGTTTAAGCAAATAGAAATACAACTTTTTTGTCTCTTGAATTTTTTTCGTCTCTTAATTTTCGAGAAACTAATATACAGGGTGTTTCCGTTTATTGTTGCATAACTTTAAGATTCGATAGAACTTTTAAAATTAATGCATAAAGTCTATATAAACATGGGTCGAAAAATGTGTGGTTTCCGAAATACAGGGTGTTTAAATTTACTTTCTAAAATAGTTTTTTTTAAATATTTCGAACAATATTTGATGTATAACAGTGAACATTGGTATACAAGGGTTTTTTGGTACGAAAAAACGAACCATGGGCATAGTTTTACTGTAGCCGCTAGAGGGCGCTCTCTACTGTAACTGTAGTGTATTAAAATGAGCGAAAAATTTTTGGTAGTGCAATTTTTTGCTTGTTGAATAAAAAAGCTGATTATTCGCACTTTTCAACATAAAAAAGCTCTCTTGTGAATTTTCGTTGTAAATAGCCGTTTTTGAGATATTTTGATTTTTAAGGTTCGATGCATTTTTAATTATTTATGATAAAATGACGTTAAAAAGTCAGTATCTCGATAATTTTTAGAAATAGGCTGTGCCTGCAAATATTTTTGAAATTGAAAGCAGAATAAGGTTAAACGTCAATTAGTTGACAGTTAGTTTTGTTGTCTGTTGAAACCTGAAACGTTTTTTTGCAATTGTGAATGCACGAAATTTAGTTTCTTTTACCTGTTTTTTTGCAAGTTTTATAAAAATGCCATTTTCATTCTCCAATCAAGATTTAGCGGATATTCATTTTGTGTATGGCTTTGTAAATGTAAACGCAGCAGAAGCAGCCAGAGAATACGCACGAAGATTTCCAAACAGACGACTTCCAACTCGCTCAGTATTTGTAAGAGTGCATCGCCAAATAATTGAAAATGGTTTTGGAAATCTCCAAAGGGATAAAAACATAAATATTCGTCAGCGCAGATTTACCCGTATGATTCTGCGTGAGTTTGATAGAGATCCGACCACAAGTGTTAGGAGAGTTTCTGGTGCCTTGGGAATTTCAGCAAGCCCTGTTCACCGTGTTCTTAGAAATGACCATAGACTTCCTTACCATTTGCAACCTGTGCAAGGACTATAGCCAAGGGACGGAGAACGAAGAATCACATTTTGTCATTGGATTCTTGATAGGACTGATAATAATAGGGAGTTTTTAAGTAACGTTTTATGGACCGATGAGTCATGCTTCACTAGACGTGGAGTGGTAAATTTTCATAATCAACATATTTGGTCGCATGAAAATCCGCATGCAGTTCCGGAAAGAAATTTTCAGCATGAATTTAGTGTGGACGTGCGGATTGGTATCTACCGTAATCGGCTATTTGGACCCTACCTTTTGCCTGCAAGGTTAAATGCTGCGACCTTCTTGGAATTTTAAAAGGCTGAACATGCAAATATGTGGGATGATGTTATGTTAGATTTAAGAAGATTAGCCTGGTTCCAGCTTGATGGCTGTCCAGCTCATTATTCGAGAATAGTTAGAAACTGGCTGGACGAAAATTATCCATAAATATGGATCGGCCGTGGAGGACCAGTCGCCTGGCCTCCACGATCCCCTGACCTAAATCCATTAGATTTCTTTGTGTGGGGATTTCTAAAAGAAAAAGTGTACCAGACTCCCGTAACCACAAGAGATATGCTTATAGACAGAATCAGGAATGCATGTGATGAAATAAGGCCTTATTTGAATAATACTATACTACGTTCGATCATTCGTAGTTGCGAATTGTGTATTGAACAATTGGGTCTACATTTCGAGCAACTACTTTAGATTTTGTGTGTGTTGTCCTAACTATCCAATAGCATTTTAGTTGTAAATAATTAATTTAGTTTGTTAAAAATAATATTGGAAAATTAAACAAATTAATATTCTGTTTTTTGTGTTTATTTGGAGTTAGGAATTATTGCTGTGTTTATAAACACAATCTAAACGATCATCTTAATTACTTGTGATGCCCAAATCGAAAATAAAAAAATATTATTTTCCCATAAATAATTAAAAATGCATCGAACCTTAAAAATCGAAATATCTCAAAAACGGCTAACTATAACGAAAACTCACAGGAGAGCTTTTTTATGCAGAAAAGCGCGAAGAATCAGATGTTTTATTCAAAAAGCAAAAAATTGCACTAAGAAAAAAATTTCGGTCATTTTAATACACTACATGTACAGTAGAGAGCGCCCTCTAGCGGCTACAGTAAAACTATGCCCATGGTTCGTTTTGTCGTACCAAAAAACCCTCGTATACCAATTTTCACTGTTATACAAGAAATATTGTTCGAAATATTTAAAAAAAACTATTTTAAAAAGTAAATTTAAACACCCTGTATTTCGGAAGCCACGCATTTTTCGACCCATGTTTATATAGACTTTATGCATTAATTTTAAAAGTTCTATCGAATCTTAAAGTTATGCAACAGTAAACTGAAACACCCTGTACTACACCAGGAATATGGGGAAAAGTTTCTTTTGAAAATCATTATTTTTTTGTAATTTTTTATTACTAATAATGTAACAACAATAAATACTAAGTGACATTAACGACTAGTCTAACAAATTTAACTAAATTAAGTGTTGGAAATGGCCATATTCGGCTTCAATACAGCCTCATCATTGAACTACGCACTCTCCTGAAAATACCTGGCGTATTTTTTATTATGTCACATGAATTAATGATTCTATTGAACTTTCAATAGGAGTTTTGTATAGTTTAAGGGATCCTACAGAGAAAATAATCATATCGGGCGAGAAAATGCAATCTCTTTTTGTATACATCAGCGAATGGTTGATGCTCTTTCATAGATATCTATTTATTCAGATCTATGAACATAAAACGTGTTTATTACGAACATGATTGCCATTCTCATCAATAAAAATGATCATAATCCTACTTAAAATCATTAACGTAAAAGCGCTCGTAGTGACCTCTTTAAACCTCGTCTATAGGGTGTTAAATGGGCATAGTGAAATGGTAGGTACTATGGGCCAAGTCCTTTTTATTTCTGAAAATAAAAACGAAGTGAATTCCTTTTTTGGAAAAACAATATACAAGGTGCTTTATCTACGCCATTTTACGTTTTTTTTTTATCAAAATCAACTCAATTAACTAGCAAAATATTTTTAGTTTATTCAAATATCTTATTTTTAGTAGTGTATGTGACACAAAACTCAAAAACTTAAGAGTTATCTTCTTGGTTCAACCAGCATTTTACGAAAAAATGCTTAAAACTGAACTGAGGATGTTTTGAGAGCTCTAGATTCCAGGGTCGGACTAAAAATATGCAACACGTGATATGAATAAAGGGGAAAATTAATATTGTGCACCCTATTTAGTTTTTTCGTCATTTTTTAATGATTTATTACTACCAAGTGACGTTATCGAATAGCATCACTCCTGTTTTAGGATTATAATGGAATTGTAGGAAAAACTAAATATACAGGTCCGGACTCCGATTTTTAGCATATGTTCGAGCTCTCACCAAAAACATTCCTTAGATTTAGCTGCATGCACATATGATACGTCACACAATTAAATGTCAAGTTCAGCCCTGCGTACTACGTTTCTGTGGATGTTTAAGTTATAGTTGGTTTAGATCATTGATTCCCAAAGTGGTCTATATCGACCCCTAGGGGTCTATGACAACCTGCAAGGGGTCTACGTCAGCGAAAAAAAATTTGGGGGTCCATGGAATGAATATGGGGGTCCACGATAGTGGATCTCAGCATATACACTGATAGTACCTATTTACTTACATCATACTATCTTATAATATCAAAATATATACATTATTTATAAAAGTACCTATGAAGTAAAAAATTTATTATATATGTTTATAAAATTGTGTAAGTTGTAGAATGTTGGTATTCGCTTTGTGGTCGCAATACATTTTGAACTTGTAAAAACCTGAGAGTCGCAGTCTCAGAGCTTCGCTATCTTGCACTGACCTGTTCAATTTGTCACTCTATAAATACGAATGTGGGACAAATACGTTTATTCGTTTCCTGAATCTTGAAAAGGAAAGTGCTAAGAAAATATTTTAAATAATTTAAACAGATAGTATATCACACAAATTATAGTGAGACAGTGTTATTTTGTTTGAGAGTGCTGGAGAAATGTAAGTACATTATTTTTTATTAAATTTTAGTTTTGTACTCGTAGTTAGCAAAGATAGATAAATTACGCCAATCATGACTTTAGTTATTAGTAGTTAAATATTCAATCATGCAAAATTACACGAGTACTCCTCAATAGTTTCTTTTTGAAAGTTTTAGCAATCGGTAATATAATTACAGTGCAATCTCCGTAATTCGAGCTAATTGTTGCAAGATGTTCGAATTATGGAATGTTTTCGAAAAAATCAAAAAATATTTTTAATATACAGCTGCTGGATTTTCTGTCTTATTTAAATAATTTGACGCTATTAAACCATCTAAACTGCAAGATCATCTGAGAAGATGCCACCCTGAGAAAACAGAGAAAGATTCGAAATACTTTCAAACACTCAAAGATAAATTTCAAAAGAGACCTACACTGGACAGAATGTTCGCTTCGACGTCACAAAGAAATGATGATGGTTTGCGGGCGTCTTACAATATCTCGATACTTATAGCAAAATCCGGAAAACCGCATACTATCGGAGTTAATTTTGCCAGCCGTTGAAGAGGTTTGAAAAACTGTTTTACACGAACCTGCATCTGATATCATTAAAAGAATTTCCTTAAGCAACAATACTGTTGACAGACGTATTGATGAAATGAGTTCTGATATTGAAAGCTTCTTATGTAATTATTTGCAAACGACCCATTTCTCTATACAACTGGACGAGTCAACTTTACCTGATAATGCAGCATTATTTTTGGCATATGTTCGTTTTATTATGAATCAAGAAATCTACGAAGAACTGCTCTTCGCAAGAACTTTGATAACCGACACTAAAGGTGAATCAATATTTCATGTTTTGAAGGATTACTTCATTGAAAAAGCAATTCCTTTATCAAATATAATATCAGTAGCTACAGATGGAGCACCTGCCATGGTTGGACGTTATCGTGGATTTATAAGCTATTTAAAACAAAATGTGTCAGGGGTGTTAGCAATACATTGCATCATCCATCGACAACATTTAGTTGCTAAAAATTTGAGTGTTAGATTGCATGAATCACTTCATTTAGTCATTGATGCAGTAAACCGAATCCGAAGCAACGCGTTGAATACGCGGTTATTTACGCAGTTGTGTGAAGAAAATGACACTTTCATCAATTACTCCTTCACACTGAAGTACGATGGCTGTCGAAAGGCTTATATTTGACAAGATTTTTTGCACTTTTTGAGACTATTTTAGAATTTCTGGATACTAAAGATAAAATTTTAAAAGAAAATTGAATGAAGAGAAAAACAGACATCGCCTATTTAACAGATTTGTTTACAAAATTTAATATGGTTAATTTGCAATTACAAGGCGACAGTTTAAATTTGATTAAAACACAGTCCATCTTATCAGCGTTTCTTGCCAGAGTTAAACTAATGAAGCAAAATATTGGACGGGGCGAATTTTCTCAATTCCCCAATTTGTCGCAGACAAGCTGCCAGGAAGACGACGTTTCAACTTACGTTCAACATTTAAATGCCCTCTATTCAGATTTTGAATCTAGGTTTGAGGATATTTTGACTATGGTAATACCACCGTGGATAATTAATCCATATGGTGACATAGAAGAAACGAATGTCATAATACAAGAGGAACTGACTGAACTAAGTACAAATGAAGAACTTAAGGTTCAGTTTAAAAACGGATATCGGCATTTCTGGCTGCAAAACAACATACCCGTTACTTATCCCGTATTATGGAATATAGCGAGGAAATTTTAATTTCCTTTCCATCGTCATACCTAGTGGAAAGGGGGTTCAGCGCTGTTACCAATCTCCTAACGAAAAAAAGAAACAGACTGGACATCATTAGCCGAGGAGATTTAAGATTAACCCTTACAAAAATGACGCCAAATGTTGATAATTTATTATTAAAGCATCAGGTTCATCCTTCTGACTAAAAATATTGACTTATTGCTTATGTTATTTTATTTATAGTTTATTTTATGTTTATTGGTGTCTGACCAATAAATGCCCGCATTGGGAATAAGTGCCCGCATTGATTTTTTTAAAGAACCCCCTTTATAGAAAATATTTTTTTTTAATTATTCTGAAAATTCAAGGATAGGTACACACTAAAATTCGTTAATTTTTTGCCTATTTTTAGATAACTTAAACGTATAAGAAGCGGACATTAATCAAACTAACAGTGAAACTATTGTAGAACATACGTTTATGTTATAATTAATAAACGAACTCGCTTATTGTACTATTTTAAGTAAAAAACTTTTTTTTATTATTTTTCACTTTTTTTTTATTTTATCCCTCTTATTTTTTTTCAATGCGGGCACTTATTCCCAATGCGGGCACTTATTTGTCAGACACCTGATTATTTAATGTTACGTATATTTTACATAACAGATACAAAATTTTATTTTGAGTAGTTTTAATTTAAATTCAATTAATAAATGTATAAATTAACACTTTAAGTTTTTAACACTAAACTTCACTACAGTTAGAAATTTACAGGAAATCAATATCAGGTAACTAGGGGGTCTACCCAACACGGAAAAACATGGGGTCTACGACACAAAAAAGTTTGGGGAACTCTGGTTTAGATCATCAAATGTAGAAAAATCGCATCTTTTTATATGTTCCGGTATGAAAAAGTCTCGGTCCATACTACACGCCCATTGAAGTACGGAACGCCCTGTATACGGCGGCGACTCGCAGTCTACGTCTGTAGTCTGCGCGTACGATATTTTACGCAAAAAGTTTGCGGACTGCAGCAACACGGCACACAGCGTACCGAATGTCTGGCGGCGGCCTTCATAACCTAGATAAAAGAATCTGGCGAAGAGACGCGGAAAAAACACGTTGGTCTGACCAGGATGTCGGTTGTCTGGTTCTCTGATGATGTATAAACGGTTTGAGTGACAATTCATGTCGATGTCACCGGGTCACTATCATAGAGTTTCGTTAAGCCTTACGTTGCGTTATTTTTGACAGCGGTAGCAAATAACTGTTATCCATCCCTTCAGAAGCAACAATGTATAATTATGGTTTTATTGCTTTCAAGTTGTTTGCATATGGTACTTGTTTTATTTATCAAGCGAAAAGCAGGTTAAAGGGGGTCGTGAGACCCTTTCGGGGCGTCAACGGGAAGGACAGCTTGGTAGGCACCCGGGAACTAGCAATCAGGCGGTACCGATGGTTTGACCACTGTTTCCTAATTAGTGAAGTTCCTGATTATATCAATGACTCACGCATTTTAACGGTTTCTTGAAATCATTGAAAATTTCGAAGATTTTGAAAAGCTTGATAAATTTGAAAATTTTGAAAATCTTGAAATTATTGAAAATTTCGAAGATTTTGAAAATCTTGATAAATTTGAAAATTTTTCAAATATTGAAAATTTTGAAAACTGAATATTTTGAAAATTTTGTAAGTTTTGGCAATTGTGACAATTCTAAAAACACTGAAAATATTGAAGATACTGAAGATTTCGAAAATTTTAAGAAGTTGGAAATTTTGTAAATTTAACAAATTTGTTCAGTCTCCATATTTACAAAGTTTTGAGTGCCACCTAAATTGTCATGATCTAGAGAATTTTGAAAATTTGTGAAATTTCGAAAATCTTTGAAATCATTGAAATTTTAAAAATTATAAAATTTTGAAAATATCGAGAATTCATTGAAAATCTGTGAAATTTTCAATATTCAAATAATGTTGAAAATCATGAAAATTTAGGTGGCACTCAACACTTTGTAAATATGGAGACTGAACAAATTTGTGAAATTTTCAAAATATCCATTTTTTCAAAATTTTCAAATTTTCAATATTCTAAAAATGTTCGAAATCTTCAGTATCTTCAATATTTTCAGTGGTTTTAGAATTGTCACAATTGCCAAAATTTACAAAATTTTCTCATTTTCAGAATTTTCTAGATTTTCAAATTTATCAAGCTTTTCAAAATCTTCGAAATTTTCAATAATTTCAAGAATTTCCAAAATTCTCAGTATTTTTTAAATTTTCAGATTTTTCAAAACAAAGTTTTGCATTTCAATATTATAAATATTTACAAAATCTTGAAAATTCAGAAAATTCGTCAAATATTTTTAAAATGTCAAAACCGTAACTTTTCAAGATTTTTAAAATCTCAAAATTTTCAATACTTTCAAAGTTCTCGAAACCTTCAAACTTTTAGAAATCTTGAAGATTCTGAGAATTTTTAAAAATTTGGAAATTTTGAGGATTTTTAAGATATTGAAAATTTTGGTAAATGCTGAAAATTTTTGAAATATTGAAAGTTTTGAAAATTTTGAAAATTTCGAAAATCTTTGAAATCCTTGGAATTTTAAACATCATAAAATTTTGAATATATCGAGAATATGGAAATGGTTGAAAATCTCTGAAATTTTTAATACTTAAAAAATGTTGAAAATTCTTAAAATATCGAATATTTTGGAAATTTTGAAAATTTTGAGAATTTTCAATATTTGAAAAATTTTGAAAACTGAATATTTTGAAAATTTTGTAAGTTTTGGCAATTGTGACAATTCTAAAAACACTGAAAATATTGAAGATACTGAAGATTTCGATAATTTTAAGAAGTTGGAAATTTTGTAAATTTCACAAATTTGTTCAGTCTCCATATTTACAAAGTTTTGAGTGCCACCTAAATTGTTATGATTTTCAACATTATTTGAATATTGAAAATTTCACAGATTTTCAATCAATTCTCGGTATTTTCAAAATTTTATAATTTTTAAAATCTCAATGATTTCAAAGATTTTCGAAATTTCACAAATTTTCAAAATTCTCTAGATTTTCAAAGTTTTTATGGTTCTTAAAATTTTCAAAATGTCCAAAATATTCGATATTTTAAGAATTTTCAACATTTTTTAAGTATTAAAAATTTCAGAGATTTTCAACCATTTCCATATTCTCGATATATTCAAAATTTTATGATTTTTAAAATTCCAAGGATTTCAAAGATTTTCGAAATTTTCAAAATTTTCAAAACTTTCAATATTTCAAAAATTTTCAGCATTTACCAAAATTTTCAATATCTTAAAAATCCTCAAAATTTCCAAATTTTCCAAAATTCTCAGAATCTTCAAGATTTCTAAAACTTTGAAGATTTCGAGAACTTTGAAAGTATTGAAAATTATGAGATTTGAAAAATTTTGAAGTTACGATTTTGACATTTTAAAAATATTTTAAAAATTTTCAGAATTTCCAAGATTTTGTAAATATTAATAATTTTGAAATGCAAAATTTTGTTTTGAAAAATCTGAAAATTTTAAAAATTTCGAGAATTTTGGAAATTCTGAATATTTAGAAAATCTTGAAAACGGAAAATTTTTAAGATTTTTAAAATTCCGAAAATCTTTGAAATCTTTGGAATTTCAAATATAAAATTTTAAAAATTTTTATAATATGGAAAAGGTTGAAAATCTCGAAAATTATTAATATTTTGAAGATGTTGAAAATTATGAAAATTTCTGATAACTGCTACAGCTTACTGGGAAATGCAAACGCTAAATTGAGCGTCCTCCAAGGAAGCATATTGTCTGTTTAGAATCCAACTGAAGATCATTCCTCAAACGGCACTCAATTCTCGGGGAAAGTCTCTAAATATGATCTTCAAAAACACGACCGTCGACAAACATTAAAAGTATTTCAAAGTCTGTATCCGTCTGAACAAATGGAGCGCGGGAATACGAAAGCACAAACACATTAACATTGATAAGTGCCATAAAGGAGTATCAACACACAGCATGTCCGGCGGCCGGTTTGAAGTTTCTGGTATGGTCAATCGAAGTACCGTTATCCGCCTGGTAGTACCGGCGGTCATTCGCAAGGCGAGGCGCGGGGCCCTCGGGCCAACCCGGAACTCGGATGTAGACCGCCAGACTCTGCACCCGGCCGCGCGTACACTGTTGGACAAAAG